ACTCTTTCCAGTACCAAACCCCTTCTCTTGAAACACCAGTACTCGTCTCAAGTTTTTAACTGACTCTTAAGGTCTCTAAAGGCAGTTTCTAACTACACTAGACCAGGGATCTCTCCACTCTTCAGAGCTAGCTCCCTGTTTGACTGGGTAGGTAGGGAAATTCTCCTCTCACTAGAAGATCTCTCCCCTTTCTTTGGCCCAAATGGGAGTCTTCGCCTAACTTCCCAAACTTCCTTCCCATCTTTCCCGCAGTTCTCTCTGTGTGTAAAACTGCTCTCAGCTAAGGCTGAAATCAGACTCAACTCAGTCAAGGCAGAAATCTGACTGATTCTCTCCTCAGCATGCAGCTCTGAAGTCTCTCTCTGCTCCTCTGATGCTAACCAATCAAATTGCTTGGAGCAGCCTGTCACTCTCAGTTTCTGTGAAGCATTAACCCTTCATAGTCCTTCAGCTGTTTGTACAGCACTTCTAAGCTTTTAAAAAGTGCAGTCCATCACAGCATACTTTATACGAACTTTGCAATAGTGAATCAACGTCAAATGGAAAATTATGTTAGATTCAGGTGGGGTTGCCATGTTGGCCCGAAGCAGCAGAACACAGTTTGAGTCCAGTGGCACCTTTAAGACCAACAAAGTTTTATTCTGGGTATAAGTTTTTGTCTGCTTGCACACTTGTTCAGCACACAGAAGCTTATATCCAGAATAAAACTTTGTTGGTCTTTAAGGTGCCACTGGACTCAAACTTTGTAAAATAATGTTGACACCTTATATAATAGAAGGAAAATTTTCCCTAGCAAAAAACAGCTGGCCATGACTGAGGTCCTGCTGTTGGGCAAATCTTTTCTAGTATCTTGCCTGTTGGCTGCAATTTAACCCTGAAAGGCTTCTTGCCTGGATCTGGGCTAAATTTTCCATCTATGGAATGGAACTTTCCTGCCTTCCCACTTTCTACTGCTGCCCACTGATCTTCACAAGATGTTTCTGGGGAAGAGGAGATCCTGAGACAAACTGTGTGTGTGGGTGGAGTCTGCAGCAGGAAGAGGGAATCAGTGGGAACTGCCAACTTAGTGTGTTTAGTGTTGCTACAAGTTTGGTGTGGTGGTTAAGTGCGCGGACTCTGATCTGGGAGAACCGGGCTTGATTCCCCACTCCTCCACTTGCATGTGGCTGGATGGCCTTGGGCAAGCTATAATTCTGGCACAGCTGTTCTTGAAAAAGAGCAGTTTCTATCAGAGTTCTCTCAGCCCCACCTACCTCACAGGGTGTCTGTTATGGGGAGGGGAAGGGAAAGGAGTTTGTAAGCCACTCTGAGACACCTTTGGGTAGTGAAGGGCAGGGTATAAATCCAATCTCTTCTTCTTCTTCTCTACAGTAGCCCAAATGTATTTTTGTTGCCATGTAGGTGAGTTATCCTTGTTCAGTCTTACCCCTGGCTACTCTTTGAGTGTCAGTGTTTTTGCTGTATAGTGGTGCATGGCATGTTATCCTGGTTAAGATGTCACAGAAGCTGCACTTGGTGCTACTGTCATTCGTGTGTCCTGTACCACCTGATTACCTCCCACTTTGCATAAGCGTTCAGTCTGTCAAATGGCATGATATTTTGGAAAAGAATAGTACCACAGATAGGAACCGAAGATAGTTAGATAAAAAGCGTATCCTGTGGTAACACTAGGTGAAGTTAATTACATAGTAGGGTTTTTCAGATGCTTACTACAGAATTCAGGAAAGTCATAAGCAAGACGGTATAGAGAAGATACGTTTGCATTTTGTTGCTTGAAGTGCTACACAATCCTACTCTAGTTCATACAAATGAATTATTTTTATAGTCAATTATTATAGCTTCCTAAATTGAGCTTTGTGTGAAGCTGTTAACACTGCCCATGTATAAAACAATTTTATTTGTTAACCAAACACCATTATACTGTTTGAGAACAGTTTTGGAATGTCTTCATCCCTTTTCCTAATTTTGAATGTACCCTGTTTGAGTTACAGAATTATAAAAACCTAATCTCAAAGATGGCAGCCTTCTATGCTGAACAGCTGTATTGTGTTTATAAGAGTGGTCTTACAGAGTCAGACCAGCGTGCAGCCCAGTTCCCACTTTTGAACAGTAACCATTTAGAGTAAGAGATCCTGAGCACCTTTTTCTGCATCCCCTTTCAGAGGCTTATGTTTGGTCTGAGTGGCATGACAGAGACATGATGCATCTCCACCCACCTGTAAAAAGCAAATGACATTTGAGTGCAGCCCAGATGCGACTCAAGGCTGCATACTCAAGGGAGAGGGAGCTTAAATCCTTCAACTCCATGCTCAGTTTTGTCAGCCAAAACCGGGTTCCCAACACAGTTGTCACAGCATTTTAAAAGAGAGAGAAAACCCAACCCCCTGTGTTATAAACACTTAGGTCTTTTTCATTAAAATGCCAAGAACAGTAGGGGAGTCCAGTTTTAGTGAGTGACTGAATGGGTGTTGAAGGATTAACTCCCCCCATGCAATCCTCATCCAAAGAGAGGATTGTGACAAGGATAAAAGAAAGATCAAAAAAGGAATAAAACTGGGGGGCTCTTCTAGCACATTTGTGCCCGAAAGCTACAAAAAATGATTGCTGAGCAGCTCAAATGTTATGGAATGAGGTAACTTTTAGGTTATAATGAGTCATTAAAGCCACAGTAAGAAGAGATGTTGGAATCAGTCAAACGGCAGGCAGTGCCCAGGCTTGCTTTGGTGACAGAATGATGGATGATGCAGTGAAACTGCTGCTGCAGCATGGTCGAGGAAGAAAGACCAGTCAGGACTTTATCAAGCCAATTTGAATGCATGCAAGCATATAAAGTACTGCTAAGAATTTCAGAAAGGTAACTCTATATATCAAGTGCAAACCAGGACTACCGCACAAACCTTTTACATGTCCCATGCAAAGTCAATGAATTATTAGGGGGAAAAGCTTCTGTAACTGCAAAGAAAAAGAAAATACTCAGCTCAAACATTTCCTAGTCATTAAAACAATTAAATGGAAGTTTGAATAATTTAAGCAAATAACGTGTTTATTCAAGATGCAGGTAATGATGCCCATAGGACTGTATGGCTAATAGAAAGATGATTGTCATGGCTGATACAGTCTAGATGTTTTGACATATGAGGGATTCTGTTTCATTGGTAGTCTTGATTTACAAAGAGCTTGACCATGACTAGAATAAGGCAATAGGAGCCCAGCATGCAGTCTTCAAAGAAGAGATCTTAGGAGACAAGGAAGAGGTTTTGTGTTTCTGACATCTGTATAAATGTAACAGATATCTTAGCTCAAAATTGAAAGGGGCAGAAATGCTTAGGATGCAGAAATGTTTTGTTAGAGTCCTGCTGCATAGGATATTCCAAGTCTAAAGTTAGCAGTGAATTAATGGTGGTGTTAACGTCTTGAAAGGTGAAGGACTGAGTACTTAGTAAGGATATTTGTGTAATTTTTCACTTTTCTTTAGTGTCTTTGGTGCAATGAAAACTCCATTTGTATGGATTACCCTGTGAGGAGTATCATTCCATCTTCTACACTGTGCCCACTATCAGAGGCTCGTTGGGGAGTCTGTTGGGGTGAGTACCGATTGCAGCTCTGGTATGTGTGGTTAATTTCTAATTCAAGCCATAGAAACCACCATGATGGCCCTGTTGAGGGCAGAAAGGCACAGTATACATTTGTAAATAAATAAATAAAACAAGGGCTCTGATTTTTATGCAAGAATTGTTAACTCACCTTCTTTTGATCTGTGCAGTTAGCTTTGTGAACAAGTCATAAACTTACAGCAACCTCACATCACAAGATGAAGCATCAGTTAATAGATTTGTGATACTGTTTTTCCTGAGAAGTTTCCCCCCTAAATTAATTGCTGCTGGCCTTGGAGGCCCAGTACAGTGAAATCAATTTCCTGCTGAGTTGTAAGCCTGAGAATAAAGCCACACACACACATACCATACACGCGCACACACGTCAAGTCTACTGATGATAAATTAAATTTGATTTTTGGATCTACAAATATGTTATATCAGCAGATATATTCTGGAGGAACAGAGGCATTATCGCATTCCTCTGTTGACCTTTCAGGGCCAAACCAGACATGATTCTGGGAGCTGTGTGAATGGAGCTCCCAGAGTATGCATGTGTTTGCTTTCAGTAGGTGCATATGGGTCCTCTTTGGATCAGAAACTTGGTGTGAAAGACAGGTTGACCCTCCCCTCCCCTCCCCTCTAATGCCTTTTTTCCCATTTGAAACAGTCCTGCAGAGCTACTGTTTGTCCCACTGTGGTAGCACACAAGCACAAGCCATAGTTTTTCAATTCTGATATGTCATCAGACTGTAAGGTAAAGGTAAAGGTTCCCTTGCTCGAAAGCCAGTCGAATCCGACTCTAGGGTTGCGGTGCTCATCTCCGTTTCAAAGCCGAAGAGCCAGCGCTGTCCGAAGACGTTTCCGTGGTCATGTGGCCGGCATGACTAAACACCAAGGTGCACGGAACGCTGTTACCTTCCCACCGAAGTGGTACCTATTTATCTACTTGCAATTTCTTGCTTTCAAACTGCTAGGTTGGCAGGAGCTGGAACTAGAAACGGGAGCTCACTCCGTCATGTGGCAGCTCGGGTCTTGAACTGCTGAACTACTGACCTTCCACAGCCTGCAGTTCAGCGTCTTAATCACTTGAGCCACTGCAGCATCAGACTGTAGCTTGCAAAAAAAAGCAAACAAAGCCATGCATACAGGATTGTATAACAAAAAATTACTATACAGGGAGTGTAGTGTACTAAATCTGAAAAACACTAATGAAGGAATATACACAAAATTCTATATGAAATTACAAAAACCTCTTATTGACTATTCTTTAAAGATGCAGTACAAGTACAAGTTGAATTTAAACATATGAAGCTAAACGATAATACATGAGGTTAACCACATAGTATTAACCACAGCAATGCATGTCCCAGGTAAATCTCCATTGCAGCCCTTCATCAGGCCATAATCATACGGTAAAGCCAGGAAAGAGTTGAAGGGACGAGTGCAGAACATGCACAGGCTCTTATCCTCTGTTCCCAGTTGCACTCCACCACTCAAGTATTATACCAAGCTGAGGAGCTCTACTATTTCCCTTGACAATAAAGCCTGTTCAGTGTTCCAACTGGCTCCACAGAGTCAAAAGTCAACTTGTATTTGTACTGCATTTTTAAAAAATAGTCAATAACAGGTTTTTGTGATTTCAAATAGGATTTTGTGTGTATTCCTTCATTACAGTGTTTTTCGGATTTAGTATGTATACAGGACTGGCTTGATAGTCTGTGGCTTGTTCATATTCCTCCATATGTAGTTTGTGAATTGTCTAAACCCAGTCATGAAGGCTACAATCTTATATGAACTTTTCTGGGAGTAAATCAGCAAGGCTTACATCTTTGTAAATCTGTTTTGGATTGTACTGAAAGCCTAATATTTTTTAAGAAGCCCAGTACTGGTGATCAACTTGTGCAGGTATGGGGTGTTTAAAGCCATGGACTTCCTTCCTCAAAGAAATTGGTCTGTGTATGAATGTTCCTTATGTTCATGTTTGTTACCTGATGTCAAAATGTATCGACAAGGCTGAAATGTGCTCCGAGGGCCAATATGATTCAAGGAGATCTTTGATCATGCTTGCCTAACTGATTTTGGCCTGCAGTCAGAATGTATTGGACCTTTCAGATGACCTGTGCCCACTGGGAACCTCTTCATGTATAGCTTTGAAATAATCTCATGTGACAAACTAAAGGACTTTCTGACCCTGACCTTTTCAGAAAGTCAAAGCATCCGCTCTCATCAAATCATAATCGTAATGCTCCCTGCCCTGACTTGATGTAGAGCTTTAGAATGACTGTTTACATAGGAATTCAGCATGAACCTCTATTCCTTCCTTCCTCAGGGATATGAAATGAGATAATAGGTAGGATGGGTTTCTGCCTAGCCACAGCCATATGAGGAACTCTGCATCTCAAACATTTAGAGAAATCTGATTCTGATGCTTGTTCAGTTTCATTGTATCATTTTTAAAATAGGCCTAATCTGACAAAGTCTTTATTGGTTATTTTTCCCCCCACACATCTGCCTAATACTATAAAAAAAATATAAGCTTTAATCCATCACTGCATTTCCGTGGACGGAATGCTGCTTCAGGGGGCAATTTGTGCCGCAGCAGGTTGGGTTCCACTGGTGGAAATTCTGTGGAAATCCCAGTCATAGACATGATATTGGGTAGAATTAATTAATGTGCATTGGCAGCTCCTGGCTCATTAACATTTGTGTGATTGGCATCATCCCCGAATATGTTTAAATGAGCACGTATGGCATCAGTTTCAAGATCTTTAGGATGAACCGACCTATTGAAAGCAAGGAAACAATAAGTCAGTTTTCCAGCTATGGAAACCACCCACCCATGGAATCCATCTTTACTATGCAGTCCTCAAAGGGAAATTATAAGGAGATGGCTGAATTTGGGATAATACACAAGTTCAGAACAGTGGACCACCCAGGGCTAAATAGGGACATTGGATTCTTATATCTCTGCTAATTTTCTTCCCCCAAGCATTTCCTCTCTGCTCTAATCAAGCAGATTGCAGTATGCCTTGTACCTTTGCATTCTTCACAGCACCCCTCCCATCTTCTGCCTGAGATAAAAGGATATTAAGATCTCCATTCCTGCTCGTGTCTGACAAAGGGAGGTTTGACTTTCGAAAGCTTATACCCTGAAACTCCCAACCTGGCTATCTTATGAAAGGCTCTTCGCCTTTGTTATTATCTGTATCATCACTTAAATACCTGAGACATGTCACCTCTGCCTGCTCATTAAACAGATGAATTATCATCTTCACCCAGTCTTTACCTCCTGCAATCACATGGTTAAGCTACTTCCACCTAAAAAGGATTTTTTTGTACATCATACATAGGCTTGTAACAGGCCTCAGGGTTATTCAGAATAATTAGACTGGGCTTCTTTAGCGTTCAGAGATCAGGTTTGGGGACTTGATTAACATACTTTAGCCCATATTAGTTTGGAAAAGGAGAGGCAGGAAAAAATAAAAGAAGAAAATAGAAAGCACATAATTTGTGGTAAATAGAAGGAAATGTATACAGTGACAATAGCACCAGCAGTATATTTGGATATCAAGTTTAAATTAGACTTTATCCCCGCATAATTGGATGTTGCATTATCATTATTATGCTTTAGTGATCATTCACAAATGGATTTTCCTTTGTGCACAAAACAATCAATTTGTGATTGATTGCTCTTGTGCAACAGTAGTGCAATATTTAGCAATATGTGGGTGCAACCTTTAGGTCACTGAAACCACTGAACTCATCAATAATGTATTATGTTATAGCAAACTAATTGTGATAAATCTTGGTCACATGTAAACAACAAGTGGTCCATCTAGTCTCACACAGTGGCCAACCAGTTCCTCTAGAGGGCCAACAACGGCATAGAGGCTGAGGCCTTCCCCTGATGTTGCCTTCTCGTTCTGGGATTCAGAGGTTTAGTGCCTCTGAATGTGGAGGTTCCCCTCAGATATCACTATGGCTAGTAGTCACTGATAGACCTATCCTCCATGAATCTATCTAATCCCCCTTTTTAAAGCTTATTCCTGTGGCTACATCCTCTGGCAGCGAATTCCACATTTTAATCACTTTCTGTGTAAAGAAGTATTTTCTTTTTTCTGTCCTAAATCTACTGCCCATCAGCTTCATTTGATGCCCTCAAATGGCCATGCTACATATTTTGAGTGAAAAAACCGTGTCTGACAAAAGATTTCACTCATTATAAAGGAGAAAATATTTCACAGTAAACATCTTTATAAGAAGCATGTGATTTCATTTTGTAGAGTGGTGATAATAAACTATCCGCCAAAGAATTTGGCTGTACACTTGCTGAGTAGACGCTAATAATTTTCTTAAGATACCAAACAGAGGAGGTATCATATGGACACCTGATTCTAAAGAGAAGACTTGGTTCTTATGTTCAGAAGTGTTACAGAATTGATTGTCTAGTGATAATTTTGCATGTTAAGTCATAAAGTGGTGCCCCCTTTTATTCTCTACATTACAGTTTGCAGATCTTCAGGCGTTTTTCATATCTACTGGTGTGCTAACAGGGGTTCCAAAAGAATGCCAGACATGTGTTCATATCTGAAATGTGAGAAACTGGCAAACATGTACTGGTCTTACCTTACATCATTTAGAATGGGATCTGTTTAAACTGGATAAATGTGTATCTGAGTGATCAGTCTATTCCATCCGATAAGTAAATTGTAACCATCCATTGAGGTGAATAGTTAAGTGTGATGTCCCTAGTCTGAGCTTCTCTAGCTGCTGTGAGGAGGATTTCTAATAAAGGCCCAGATGTGCTAATGCCATCCCTCTGTGGAAGTCACCTCTACTAGTGTATTTCTTCATCTTTGTTAACTTCCTTTTGCAACATCAAATGTACTGAAATTCTGCTTTTAATTTTTGCAGTCAACTTTCAGGCTTTGATCATTAGTATAGCTGTTGTAGCAGGCCTCCTTCTGCTTACAATTGCTGGCTGTTGCTGTTACTGCTGCTACTGCCGCCGCCGAGGTCGTGATAGGGGGTAAGCAGTTTAAGTTACTACCTCTGCTCTACTATTTTTTTAATTGATGTCATCACTTGTAATGTGTAATAAAATTGTCATAAATACATAAAAGTTGCAAGTAGAACTCAACAAAAAGCATTTACAAGTTGTGTTGCCCAACTTCTTCTCTGGGACAAAATGTTTATTTGATCTATATTTGTGTGTTAGGATTACAGTTAGGATTACAGATGTACAAACTGGTGGAACCCTCTGCCGAGTAGCGTCCATGTCCTGCGGGACTTATTACAGTTTCTCAGGGTTTGTAAGGCAGAGACGTTCCGCCAGGTGTTCGATTGAGGACAGCGACAGTTCCATCTTGGCACTCCTGTCCCCTGCCCTCCTGTGAGACAGCAGCGCTGTTGGGGTTTTAGTGCCTTCTTTAGCTCAATTGTTGGTCTATTCGTTTAATCTTATTTTATCTGATGTTTTATAACCATGTTGTACACCGTCCTGAGCCCCTCTCCAGGGGAGGGCGGTTGATAAATCAAATAAATAAACAATCAGATGTGACAGTATACACATGACCTGAGTTTAAAGGCGGGGGGGAAACTTTGATCCCTTTTAACACCCCCCCAACCCCAAATCTTTTTATTTCAACTGGAGCTGCTGCTGCAGTTCTGTATTAAATTACTAGGAATAAGGCCCGTTGTGGGAAGAAATACAATGAACTCTAGAAAGAGGCTCTGCGAGAGTGCCCTGGCCTGGGGGACTCAGCGTCAGTGTGCCGAGATGACCTCAGCAGGGTATAATGACACAGAGTCCACCATTTTCTCCAGGGGAATGGATCTGTGCCATCCGAAGAGCAGTTGTAGCGCAGCGCAATCTCCATCCCTCCCCTGGAGATTGGCAGGAATGGTTTCCCATGAGGGAATGGCTGGTTTGGCGGGTGGAGTCTATGGCATTGAACCTGTCTGAGGTCCGACCCCTCCTCAAACCTCACCGCCTCCAGGCGTGACCCTTGAAATCTCCAGGAATGTGCCAACCTGGAGTTGGCAACCCTATATCCTGACCAAGCAACTGTCAATATACCGGTATCTGCTCCCTGTCTTCAGCTTTCCATCTCCTCCCCCCTCCCTCCTAGACAGCGGTTGTAATTCTGAGTGATCTCCAGCCCCCAGCTGAAGATTGGCAACAATGGTTCACCATGAGGGAATGGCTGGGTTGGAGGGTGGTGTCTATGGCATTGTACCTGTCTGAGGTCCCACCCCTCCTAAAACCTGACCCTCTCCAGGCTACGTCCCGCAAATTTCCATGAATTTCCCACCTGGAGTTGGCAACCCTAGCAGGACCGGCCCCAAGGAGTTTTCTCCCAAAGGCCAACATAGGTGTGGAAAGGCCGTTTTACTGACAGAAGGAAGCTTGGTTGGCTAGCAACAGGCACTGAGGAGAAAGGACAGTTGCTAGCGCTGCTTAGGGAAATACCTGGAGATTTGGGGTGTGGATCCTATGGACAGCAGGATTTTTTTGGGGGAAGGACTCAGCAGGGTATAATGCATTAGGGTCTACCCTTCAGAGCAGGCATTTTCTCCAAGGAAACTGATCTCTGTCATGTGGAGATGAATTGTAACAGCGGGCTTGATTATATATATATATAAAAAGGAGAGATATAGACACACAGTTATAAGTATCATGTGAAACCCAAGTGGGTTTGATGTTGGAAACCTGGTTGTTTGCTGAAATGATTGGTGAGATCCAAGATAGCAATAGCTGAGCCCCCCCCCCCCTGCCCAAGTCCTTAGAGCAGATGACGACCTGGCTGCTTGGAGGCTTCACACACGGCTTACGAAGAAGTCCGGGCTCCTGTGTGAAGGAACTGAAACCAGAATGCCTCTTTCTGAAAGTAGTCCCTCTCCGCATGAATGAAGGAGTCCCCGGGGGCTGTGAAGAATAAATTGGAATGCAACCTTTTAAGAAGCCAATAAACAGTCCATTTTGTGCTTCACTCCTTGCAGTTGTGGCCCTGAGAGCAGGACATTTCTTTCGCTACTTCGTCTTGTCCTTTCCTCCCCTTTCCTCATGGCAAAGGCTCGGCCGGCCAGCCAGCCAGCCAGCCTGCTGGGACGGGAAAAGGGGGGCTGGCTTCAGATGGCTGCAGGAGCAGCTGGGGAAGGGAAGAGGCGGAGCGGGAGGTGGAGGGTGCTCGGATCCGTGGCTGAAGGGAGGGAGGGAGATGGCAGGGCAGGCGGCGACTGGATGGAGCAGCCGCCGGAGCCGTGGCAAGGTTGAGCTGGCGAGGGCGGGCGCAAGGAAGGAAGGAAGGGCGGGAATCTCATGGTGGTGGGCTGTAGCGCTGCAGAGCCAAGAGAAGTGTGTTCCTCAGTAGAGAGAGCTGTCTGCCAGTAAATCTGACAGGCAACAGGGGGCTGAAGTGGGAGTGGGTGGGGAAGAGGACCAGACCCAGCACCTGGCCAATGGCACGTGAGTAGTATTGAGTGGTGGCCAGGGGATTGGGAGAGTGTGAGAGTGGCAACTGAGCGGGCCAAAGGGTGTGGAAGCGTGGGCAAGAGGGACACGAAAACTCTTTTTATATATAATAAGGAGAGATACCAATGTGAAATAGTCCTGGAGTCCAGAATAGTCCAGAAATACTGGCTTTCACTGTATTTGTTACTTGTGAATGAATTATGATAAGCATTTTGTATAGATGCTTTTTTTTTTTGCCGTCAAGTCACAGCTGACTTATGGCAGCCATGTAGCATTTCCAAGGCAAGAGACATTCAGAAGTTGTTCACCACTGCCTGCCTCCATGACATGACCCTGGTCTTCCTTGGAGGTCTCCCATCCAAATAATCGCCAGGGCTGATGAGTGTTCAGCTTCTGAGATCTGATGAGACTGGGCTAGTCTGGGCTATCCATGTCAGGGTAGATGCATTTTAAGGATATTAATGTTGTTTTTACCAAAAAAAAAGGATATTAATGATGTTTGTGAAACGTTTGCGAGGATATGCAGTCTAGTATTGTAAGCATGAAGTTTGAACAGTATTTGGTTAACAAATCCTTCTAGTTCAATCTGTGATTTGATCTTTGATTTATCATATGCATATTCTCCAGTTGGGCAGTGGCTTTTAAAAATCATTGATGAAAAGGTACATGCTCTTGTAGAAGTATTCAAGGAAAGATGGAAAAGTCTCCCTGGCTACATGATAATTCTCCCTCTGAGGTGGAGGACATCTTGTATGGGTGATTCCCATCCATCTTCAGGGAGGCAGGAAAGATGTCCTCCAGACCTCAGAGGAGAAGGACCCTTCACGGTGAGTAACCAATGGTCGTTCTAGAGTTACTGCTTGATGGCTGGGGAGCACAAGTAGTTTTCATACAGATCTTGTCACAATGTGGTAGTCAGATCTACAGTGGGATAAAATGAGTATTGGCTTTTGCCTTGAAGAGTTTGCACACTAGTTGCAAATATCACCTCTAACTTGAAGTCATAAAGTTGCTGCTGTTAATAATTTTAATTTTAATGTAACAATTTTATAGTGCATTTATGATTTTATCACGTAGTCGAAAGCAATTATTCATTTAGAACATATATATATGCTACCTCTGCAGAGGAGTATTTGAGGCAGTTCCCAATTATCCATTAATTGAGAAACGAGCCGGTCTCCCAGTGGTCTGCCTTGTGATAGCTGTAACTTGTAAGTGTTGGTTAATATTTACTTAGCACTAGCCATGTGCTAGATTCTGGGCAGGGTGTAGAAGTGGCTTAAGTCTGTAGCAAGAAGGTACACAAATTGTGTGAATTCACTGTTAATTATCTTGCCCTGTTCTGTTGTTCACAGGAAGCATGTGGTATAAAAAATATTTGTTTGCTTGAATGTTCCCTCTTGTGAATCTTTGTATCTAATGCACAGTTGTTTGACAGTAGTCCCTTCAGAACTGTAGCTTGCAAGGCAGAGTTACTCAGCACTGCCTTCAGCAAACTCTGAGTTAGGGTGTTGAAAGAAAAGAATGTGATCAATGGCCCACCTTTTGACCTTCAAGCAAGTTTCTGAGATCTCTTTCCAGCCATGGAATTCTCAGAAGGTCAAGTAAATTGTTCATCTTGGGAAGATGTGTACAGATTCACTTAGCCTTGTAATGTACATTTTTTACTATTTTTTAGGATGATAGTGAAATCCAGAAACTTGTCCCTTCCTACCCCCCAGACTGCTCTTTCTATCAAAACATAGTCTGTGGGACTTTGATGAGCAGCCAGATACGGGATTGTGCTTTAGGATGTATGCTGACATTCTTTCCCCCCTCCTTTAGATGGTAAGGATCAGATCCATATGTATGCGTTTCTGTAATCCGGGCATTGTGGGGGTTGAGAAAAGAATACTCTTGTTTGTTTTATGTTAATTTATAGCCTTCCTTTATCACCAAGACTCAAAGCAGATAAGCATAGAAAACAATTCAGTCAGTCAGCATAAGATCCAGTAAATGATACCCCCCAAAAAGCCAGCAACCTCTTAAACTAGTCCTTCCCCCAGTTCCCAGTTTTTTTCAGCACACAAAAGACTGGTTTTGAGTGGTTTGTGGAAGTGGATTTTTTTAAAAAATATCCCTGCTGTCATCTTTACGTCATCAGTGAAATGGGAAGGAGCATCCTCTTTACTCCTGGAGTTCAGTTCTCTAAATTCTGTGAATTTAATAGAACAAATCATCAGGGCAAAATCCAAAAAATAGAGAAAGATCATTTTCCAGTCATGAAAAAGCTGGGGGAATTCTCTATTTCCTGCTGTTTTTATGTGAGATGATAGATGCACTTTTAAATTCAAAAATTCCTGGCACTTTTAAATTCAAAAATAACTCCTGAACCAAATATATTTAATGTCAAACCAGGCAATCGAACTCTTCAGCAGTTTACTGAAAATACACCCAGGAATGCATGAATGTGGAATTCAGGTTAAGTTGTAGTGGTTATTAAAGTGTTCACTCACCTGTTTCCACAGATACTACTTTCTATTTCTTTTTAAACCTGTACAGCAAATGTGAATAGCTAATTAAATACTTGAATCTTCAGGTGCAGGGTTACAAAGGATTTATTTCAAGGGCACTTTGACCTGCACCACAAGCTGCCAGCTATCATCCATCTAGCTATAGCTGAGCAATGTCATCCAGAGAGTTTACTTTCTGGGCATCTGAGTCAGTTCTGTAGCATGTTGGCAGGCAGCCTCTCATAGGACTCTGCTATCAAGGAGGTGGTATTTCCCTTTAACTTGCGTAAATGCCACAGGTGCTTTAGAGTAAAACATTTGCAGAGGTTCTGAATGTATCACATTTAACTCTCTGAATGAAACACATTGGAGAATTTACCTTGCTTTTGTCTGCGAGTGTGTGTAAAGTTCAGCTTTGCTGGTTTAATTCTCTAGCTCAGCTTATAAGGGATCTCATTAATGTGTGCTTTGCTTGTGTGCTTGGAGTCTGTTCTGACGTGGCCTTTGCCTACTTGTGCTCCAGGTAGGATCTGTGAGGGTAAATAACCATTTGAAATGTGTAGCGTATTCTGGAGACGCTGAATGCACACTTTGTCTGCCACTAGCAATATCCTTGAGTTTCTTCTTCAAAAGCTGCAGAGCTCTTTGTGTGGCTAGCATGTGCTTTCTTTGCTCAGAGTCTCCAGGTTCACACAGCTGAAAATATTGAGAAGGTCACTGTATTGTCTTTGGAGACTTCATATAGTTGAAGTGCATAGCAGTATAGCCAAATCACATTCTTTTTTTGTATTTTTTCATTTGTGTGCGCATGTGCGCACTCATGGCTGGAAGTCATGGTGACCTCTGATGACTCCTACTGGGGCATGGTGGACATTCAGAGAAGTGGCTTGATAGCCTGCCTCTGCCTCCTGCCCCTCGTGTTCTTTGGAGGTCTCCCATCCAAATACTTGCCAGGGTCAGCACTGCTTAGCTTCTGAGATCTGACGAGATTGGGCTCGCCTGGGCTATCCAGGTCAGGGCTAGCCAAGTCACATTCTTGATGTCTGCTTTCTCAGAGGAATATCCTGCAAGTTTTGACTATTCGCTTCATGTGTAGAAATCATAAATTTGGATTCTCTTCTGGGGTACAGCTTTAAGATGGCTAAATGTCTTTCGGTGACCTTTCTAATAATGAAACTTCACAAAGTATATTGGTTTTCACCTGCTCCTGTGCTGACAGAATGTGCACATGAAAGATATCCAAATCCAGATCTGCACTCTGCAAGAAGGAGGCAGACGTACTTTTCCGGGGTGAATATGCTTAACGTGTACATTTTAACCTATTTGTATTTATATAGAGCATTTCTTATCATCCTAAAATATTTAGGGCATTTCTTATCCTAAAATATTTAGGGCATTTCTTATCCCCCTAAAATAGTGCTACAGCTTAAATGATCCAACTACAATGTAAATAAACTAAAAAGTTATGCTTAGTAGCCTGCAGTGGTCTGGGGTTCACTGGAGTGGACCATGAAGGCCACAGGCTACAAACCATGGGCCAGGAGCCGTTTAGCTCCTGCCATGTGAGTTGTGTCCAAAGGCTTGTGCCTGTAATAGAAGGGAAGCAAAATCTCAGGCTTAATCTTAAACAGATGGCAGCCATCTTCCCATAACTCTCCCGTATTGCCCACCCAATTAGTGTTCAGGATTTAAGGCATAACAAGGGTAGTGTAGCTAAGAAGAAAGGGCATTTACAACGGGTCTACTCTCTGCCCCACCAAATCCTTCTGCAGATGCAGAGACTTTCAAAATGACAGCTAGTAACTACTTTATTGCTGTTCACCTTTTAGAGATGAGAATGTGTCAGACCTTATTACAAGCACACGAATTATACAGGGAACCATGACTAGTTGCAGCCCTGTATTGAGTGTACAATTTGGGTGCACAATGGTGTGTTTTGAAGACAAATGTACAGATCTTTGAAGAAGAGCTATATAGGCTTGAAACCCATCAGGTGACTTCTAGATAATCCCGTCAGACATCCTTATAGCATCTTCAAGCCAGTTGTTCTCTTCTGGAACATCCCTTACACGCCGTGTCCGCTAGGTGTCAGTGTTCTTTCCTTGAAATGCTTGTGTTAGAGCATGTACCTATTACTTTATCTGTTTCAGTCTGGGTTGGTTTGACATGTCAATTATGATCTGCTTGGGTTAAAGGCCAAGAAGAAGAGGCCTCTTACTCTCGCCCCCCTATGCTGCGCCCTCTCCTGTACCTTAATTCAAACGGGGAATCAATATCCTGCTATGCTAGTCAGTAGAGAAATGGGTCCCAGAGTCACTAATCCCATACTGTAGTACTCAAGGTCCTTTTGTGCTTTATGCTGAAATATCATACTAGTGGTAGTATCTTAATTGTCTGGACTGCTGGCAGCAGGGCCATTAGGCTACTCTCCTTGTCATAAGGGAACAGCCGCACAGTTCAGATGCTGTGCTAAGACATTTAACCACCAAGCAGGGAATAGTAGAAGTCCCTTTTCCACACAGAAGGGCCCTTTAAAAGATATTCTGCCATAACTCTTTTCTGTGGAATAGTCTCAGCATAAGTGTTGCTGCAGCCACGAGACTGAATTGACAGCTACTAGCATCTGATGACAGCTTTAAAGAAGCCTTGAATGTCCATAAGTAGAAAGTATTACTTCTGACTAACTTGTAGATCGTTAAAAGAGAAATGTTCATCATTTTTCAAGTCTATGTCAGTACAAAATGAAATGTACCTATTGGAAATCAAAGATAATTATTTGAATGCGGCTGCCACAACACAAAAATGTTCTTTCCTCTTTCTTAGGAGACTAGCTGAAGAAGAAGAAAGATTTATCAGAGATCAGGAAGAAAAAAGGCTGCAATCCCTTCAGAGGTATGTTTTTGTGTGAGATCAAGTTTGTGGCTAATGCTCTAAACACTTGTTAGGAAATACAAATGATGGCTCCCGGAAATGACACTGGATACGAATCTTGGTACTCTTCCATCCCCTGTGTTAGCAAGGCTGTGGGTGGTAATGTGGGGCTGAGAGGGGCAGTCCCTTGGCTTGTGACACACTGCCCTGCTGCCCAGCCAGTGCAGAGTGCCGGTCAGCAGCACAGCATACCGTAGTGCTGGGGCAGAGCAATCACTGGAAACTCCAGCAAAACAAGACACTTTGTTCTTTGGCGGCTGTGGCGTTACGTGCTCCCAAGCTGGCTCACTTAAGCAGGCACCCGAGTTTCCTGCACATCTGTATTCTTGCTGATTCTCAATATCACTTCGCCAGAAGGCAGGCAAGCTGTTGTGCGGTTTTTGAAAGCAGAATAGATACAAAAACAAACTGCACAATACATATCCAATAAAAATCAGTGATCTGTTGGGAGAGTGGACTCCAGCAGCTTCCTTGCATGCTCGAGTTCCTTGGTGATTGGAGCAGGGATGGAATTGTGGCCCCCTGCTAAACAATCCAAAGCCGCATGGATGGCAATGAATGTCAATAAGAATGGCCACATGCTTAGTTCTAAAGCAAAGGATAACAAACACAGCCAAGCTTAACTATATTTTCCCCAGGATTACACTGTTGGGCCAGCATCAGTGGGGTTAAAGCTTTATATGAGCACAATCATCCAAGCAGTGTGTCGTATGTGGCAGGCCTTTTATCAGCAAACCCTCCCCTGAGACGTTTACATCAAAATCAAGTTTGGTTTGCTGACTCTTTCCTATTAGCAGATTAGAAAAATGCATTATAGCTGTGAAATCGCTAATTCTGTCTGTAAAACATACGGTAAGTTGGGCATTAAATATAACGGCATAAACAGACCTAATGGAAACTGACCTTTCTGCTTTTCGTGATGTAGACTGCCTTTGAAAGGCACCCTTATGTCCATTCCTTTGCCCAAAGAATAAAGTACTGTCTGTACTTTGATAACACTAGAGGACTGTTGTTGAACTTGCAGAAAATAGGGGTGAATCAGGCAGAGTACAATTTTCACAGTGAGAACATCAGCGTAGCCAAGCTGGACCAAGCCAGAGGTCCATTTAGTTCAGCATCCTGTTTCCAGCAGTGGCCAGACAGAGGCCACAGGGACACTCGTAAGTGTGGCCAACAGACGGCAGCCCTCACCTGCTGATCACTGCCCCAGCTTCGGAATCTGGAGGCCTCATTTCACTATAGCAGACAATGCTGGATCTGTCTTTCATAAATCTGTTGTCCTAGCTGTTGAATCAATCGCAACCTCTTACGGCAGGAAGTTCTACAAATCAACTACCCATTGTGTGATGCTGGGCTTCCTTTCATATGGTGACCCCAAGTTCTAGTCTTTATGGGAGCAGGTGAAGAGTTTGACTCACCACTGTTTGTGATTTTGTAGACCTTTGTCATGTCACCCCCTCAGTCATCTTTTTCTAAAGAGCCCCAGACGCTTTAGCTTTACTTCACAGGACAGGCACTCCAAGATTCTGACTTCTTGCAGCCCTGATCTGTTGACTGCCTGATCTGATGAGATTTTTCTGTGACTGTTCAGACATCATGGTGGAGAATGGCTTGTTCTTCTCTCCACCTCTCCAGGCTGGACCATTAATCCCCCACTGTCTCCCACCCACCCCATCTGATAGTTGCTCGGTATAATCTTCATGAGATAGAGGGAGGTGATGCAGTGGCAGTTCAGCAGTACAGCACTGTGCATTCTTGTCTTTGTCTTGTGCAGCTGTTAGTGAAATAGGAAAAGAGCTGGGCAAAACAAAATCCAGCAAGGAGTTTATGCTAAATCAATCCAGGGAACCCTATGAGAATCATGCAAATGTCACTGCTATGTCCTGAGTCAAGGCATGAATCTCTTGCGGTTTAGTTCATGCCCTCCATATAATGCTAAATTTATTGCTGTCTTTGGGCTATTGAGTCGCGGTAGATCTCCCAGCAGTCCTTTCAACTTCAGCTACTAAGATTATCAGTCCTGGAAGTTGTTTTTCTTTTTTATAGGCAACCTGAGGCTAAAAGAAAAGCTGTCCAGTCTTCTCCTGTTGAATCTAATATTGCATCTGCCTGCTTACTGAAATCTCTACAGTTTTCCTGGTTTTGGCTCTTACATATGCTAGAATTCCTAAGAAAAAATTGGTTATTTCATTATACACTCTACTTTCACTGGAAATCCACACGTTATACAAACATGTTTGAGAGAAAGGGCTGATTCAGATGTTAGAGTCTAAGAGATACAGAGAATAACTGAAACTGCTTCTTAAAGTATAACCTGCAACTTGTGGTGCATTGAAGTAGCCCCGCTGTTGAATCGGTGGACGTCCAGACTTCATTCTGGACATGGGTGAGATCTGTGGGCTGGTAATGTGCCTGTTATTGTTTAGCAAGTATGCCGAGGCTTCTGGTTTTGTCATACTCGTTATAAATGCTTTCTCAACAATTGTTTCAGTGTCAAAATGTTCATAATGTTTTGCAGGAAACTTGAAAGAAAAGAAAAGCATGATGAGATACGCAAGAAATATGGTATGTATAATAAAATGTAGTAGTAGTAGTAATAGTAGAAGTTATTGTATTTAGCCATTGGCCATTACAAATTTTACATAATAAAACATAATTTAAACCTGAATATTTTTAGCTCAGTTTTTAGCCCAAAGCAATCCATTAACAGGTAATAATTAAAATAGGCTCTTTTGAATGAGAAATTGTTGCTTGTTGGAACCGTTGCTGGAAACTCTTTTCGGTTCCCAGATACTTGAAGCAAGGGTAATTTTTGGTGGTCTGGAATGCAGTTCATAATAACTGTTCTTGTGGAAGTATGAAGACAGCACTTGGTAGTTGACTGTTTCCTCATCTCTCCATGTAACAGTGGAATCTCTCTGTTCTTCCTGATGTACTTTCCAGTGGCTGAGCTCAGAATAGTGAACTAATCAAAATTTCACATGCCTTGTGTCCATATTAACCAAGGCAACAAACCATGGTTAGGGATAATCATGGTTAAGCAGTGTTCCTAGAATTTAGAGATTGTTTAATGTAATCCTATATATACTACTTACCTGGACTTAATGCTATTGATCTCCGTGGAACTTTGTTCTATATAAACATGCCTAGGATTACCAACCCTACTGCTGTATTGCTTCTGGAAGAGTAGCTGGGTTTGTTGCAAGAACAATAAACAGAGGAGTCTTGTGGTACCCTAAAGATGTACATGTTCTTATTCTAGCATAAACTTTGATGGATTAGTCTGGTGTCACACACATGTCCATGCTATTCAAACAAAGAGCACTACATGCTTTTGACAGAGTGGACTCTAGTCTTTGAACATTTGTCTAGAATAAAAGTGTGTGCCTCTTCTAGTTGCCACAAGACTTCTGTTTGCAATGATAGAAATGACAGCATACAGAATTAGAACTATATACGTCAATGAAGATTGGAGTTAAACTTTTTGTCTTACTAGACCCTGGTTTATATTAACCCAAAACAATCAAGCCGTGGCTAGTTGTAGAAATTTTAGTTATAAGTGGACTGATTATGTAATGTGTAAGTAATGTGTGAGCCTCCAGTTCGATTGCTTCCAGGCCCATAGCCAGGAATTTCTAACTTGGGGGGGGGGCATTTTAATTCCTTAGGGGGCACTGGGGCACTGGCTAATGTGATTAAAAGTAATTTAATTACCGGCTTCTCAGCCCTCCACCTGGCCATCAACTCTGCCTACCTCGAGCTTGAAAATCTTGTGCCTGTGTGGTCGCCTTCCCCCGATGCCGAAAAGGCGCTCCGGAGGTTGCTGCTGGGATGAGGGGGGGTGGGGATGGGGAGAGAAAGCACCAGCTTCCCCTGGAGTTGGCTGGCGGCTTTGGGGACTAGGCTGGGAGGGGGCTCAGTCAGACTTTTAAGTTTCATTTTTAAAAAGAGTCTTCCTTTACACGTGAACTCCATTTTCTTTGCACCTTTTATGTTAGCTCTCCCTGTAATGTGATCTTATGTGGTCAGCGCGTGCTCCTTCTCTTTGTGGGGTCATGGGATTCTTTTTTTTTTAAATGCAGTCGCCTTTCGCCAAGGACATTTGCTCAGACAGTGGAGTCATTATAAATTCAGGCACTCCAGAAGAGTGGAGCAGAGGTGTGCCTGTTTTGCGTCAGCGCAAGCATTGCACGGACATGTTTTTAAATGATCATTTAACATCGTAAAAGAAAGCCTAGAAGCGTGTCAGAAAAGCAGATTCCCCAGGAGCACTCCCCTCACCCAGTGGGATCTATTTAGACTCCCTGGGTGGGGTTTGCATCCGCTCTCTTCTGGGAGAAGGAAATTGGAATGTTCCTGATATATATGCATTTCAATTAACAACATTTTTCAAAATGACGTGTATGTGAGGGGAAGATCCGCAAAGTGCTCCTCCTGTACTGCCATGCCAGCTTCCGAGTGTCCTAGAGCAGCACTCTGCAGAGATCCTTGAAGCTCCTGGGTAGGTTGAAGTGCATGTGACCAAGCTGCAATTCCAAGCCCACTGGCTGCAGAGTAAAGCCACGGACTCCACTGTGGGGGGGGGGCAGCGTGAGGCTTGTCACAGCCCCTGGCAGAAGCAGCAAGTGCAAGAAATAAGTTGGGGGCCTGGCCAGGGTGGTAAGCTGGGGGGCCCTGGTGGAAAGTTGGGGGGCTGGGCCCCGAAATGCCCTGCTGTAGGTATGGGGCTGATTGCTTCCCCCTCACTTTTTATGTACTGTTCCATTGATGGTTGTGTAAAGCATACTTTTTCTGTTTCCTCCAAAACCTGGGTTTGAACTTCAGGTTCACAGGCAAGTTATAGTCTACCAGGTTCAAATATAATGGCAAGCTGTGATTTGTGTGACTACAAGTAAGGAAGATTATTGAAAAGCACAACGGGTGGGAGGAAGCACCTGCGCCTCAGATATGAACCATCAAACCATCCTTTTTTTTTAGTGTGAAAACCAAGGCTAAAGTACCATTGACTTTGAATGATGGTCTGTCCTTCAATCAGGTGAAGCAAACTTCTTGAGCCAGTGCATGCATTCATATTAATTCTGCTGAGAGTTTTCTGTGCATTCCAGAGCTTAGATGCATGTTTGAATGGCCATGGTTCATGGCCATGTTCTAGCTGGTGCTTGGTTCTTAAGTATGTCTAGATGTTATAGGTTGCAACACCAACTTGCAACACCAACAGTAAGCTATTATTCCAAACACACTCAGATGGAAAGAGTATGTTTAGAATAATAGTTTACTGTTGGTGTTGCAAGTGCTGCAAAACTTATGCTATGGAGTTCTGCCCTGCCAAGCACAGTCCCTGTACAGCCTTCACTATACAGGAAAAAAAAGATATAGAAAGATATTCTGTGCTGTATTGCTAAGTGTTTGCTTCGTACCAGCCAGTCGTTTCTGTAGTCTGGTCTGCTGCTTGTATTAGGCAAAAACTTGGTATATCCAAGAACTTATTTTAATAGGGCGGTCCCTTTGTGCACTGGGGAAAAAGAAACTATCTGCCTATGATTCATAATCTGTGCCAAGAAAAGTTAAATTCTTTGATATCCATAAACTATGTTTAATCTCTTAATATGCAAAGAAATTCATATCTACTTGCTTAGCACAGTTCTGTTTCATCTAGCTTGGCATCACCAGAAGTCTTGATTGTTGTTGTTCAGTCGCACAGTCGAGTCCGACTCTTTGCGACCCCATGGACCAGATCACGCCAGGCCCTCCTGTCTTCCGCTGTCCTCTGAAGTTGGCTCAATTTCATGTTCGTTGCATCTATGACACTGTCTAACCATCTCATCCTTTGCCCTCCCCGTCTTCTTTGACCTTCAATCTTTCCCAGCATCAGGGTCTTCTCCAGTGAGTGCTCCCTTCTCATTTGGTGGCCAAAGTATTTGAGCTTCAGTTTCATTATCTGGCCTTCCAGGGAACAGTCAGGGTTGATTTCTTTTAGGATTGACTGATTTGATCTTCTTGCAGTCCAAGGGACTCTCAAGAGTCTTCTCCAGCACCATAGTTCAAAAGAATCTATTCTTCGGTGCTCGGCCTTCCTCATAGTCCAACTCTCGCAGCCATACATGACTACTGGGAATACTATTGCTTTGACCATGCGGACTCTCTACTTTTTATCATGCTGTTTAGGTTTGTCATTGCTTTCCTCCCAAGGAGCAGGTGTCTTTTAATTTCATGGCTGCTGTCACAGGTTAGTCCCTTTAGTTTCTGAAATTCCACCTGGTGACACCTTATCTTCACTCATGTGGACTGGAGAGCTGATTTTTCTTTTTAATAAAGGAAATAGAAGTCCACATTCTGTACTTCTGGACTTATGTAATGTGACTTGCAGCATATACATCCATCTGATTGTAGATGGAGGCAGGTCTTTTAAAGCTTTGGACTGTAAGCATCTATTTGGGATCCTTTCTCAAAACTAACTTAACTTAAGTCATGTGCTCTTAATTCTTAGCAGAGTAATTAAATACAAAAGCAAAAGAAGGATCTCTTGTGCTTTTTCTTGAACAATTTGCCTCTGCTTAATATCAGTCTGGTAAAGACATAATTGCAAACCACATTTAATGATGGCCTAATATGGATAAAAGCCACACTGTATTGTTTCCAGTGCCCTGCAGAGACAAGATTCTCTCTTAAATAGACAAGGATGAATGACAGAGTGGCAAATGCTTTGTTAACCCATTGCTAAATTAAGATGATCTCGTCTGAAATGTCAGCCTTGTTTAGATGTAAGGAAATGCCTTTTCCCCCCACTTCACCCAACAGCTTTTCTGGCTCCATTTAAATGGTAATTACACATTTATAATGCATCGCAGGTGTCGCTCACTCTAGCCGCAGTCCTTTGGGAACCCAGGAAGCAGTAGGGCTTTAACAAATGGGAATACTCTATTTGAATGGGTTCTTTGTTGCTGGGTTTGTCACTTTTTAATATGTTCTTGTATTAATACAGTTTGATTACTCAAATTGAGTGTTCACTGCTAAACAAGTTTAGAGAAGCACATAGCTTATTTTTTATTGGAATTAAGTTTCAAAGGGAGCAGATGTAATTGTTGAGTATTTGCTACCATTTTATGTTTAAAACCTGACTGCATTACAGGTAATGTTTCTGTTTAGACTCCAGAAAATCTTCCGTAGAACAGGAATGGACAGCAGATCGATAGATTTCCACTAGTGGACCATTGGCCAATTTCTGGTGTGTCACCTTAGTGTCTGCTGTCTGCTTGGTATTGTAAAGAAGGTTGGATTAGGTGGTCTTGGATATAATCCAGTAAGGCTCTTCTTGCATTCTTAAACAAGAGGACGTACTCCCCTTCATTTAAATCAGATGGGTTATGCATGCAAAGGTACAGTGACAACTAGCAGTGTATTCCATATGCTGGTCCATGTGCCCCATGAGAGAGTCAGTAGTATGCATCATGTCCCATATCCTGCCTCACTTTTCAAGTATTATCCAAATAGTGCCTTATGTATTTGCAAAACCTCTTGCTCAGGTTTGTTATCATTTGCTACAGTGTTACTACTGTAACATGTTACAGCACTACTGCTACATGACGTATAAGGATGATAATTTCCATAATGGTGGAATAAAACTCCACATCTGGCTTCATGTTGTGTGTCTGTCAGCTTGAGCAGCAGCTTCAATGGCCATAAGACTTTGTTGGCTTTCTTGCATGCTCAGTCAGCTGTTGCTCAACTACCTTATTCAAGAAGCTCTCAAATTGTAAGTGTCCATGCCATGGCCAGATGGTATTTGGGACTATTATATCAGTCAGTGGTAAAGCAGTGTAGTGAAGACCCATCTATCCTGTTAAGGTTTATTTATTTATTTTATTGATTTAATTTATATCCCGCCATCCCTGCCAAGGTGGGCTCAGGTTCTGAATCAAGGCTCAGATATCCTGGCTCAGCAGCTGTAATTTGTGTATAGTTGCAAACACCTGCCTCAAATAATTCAGGTGGCCATCAAGAAATATACTGGTGCAGATAAAAATCTTTGTGGCTAGTTCTCTGCATTCTTTGAACTATCCCCGGAATGTCACATATCAGCACAGAATTCCCTCGGGCTAATTGCTTTATGTTAATAACAGTAACCTAGAATTAATTTTTCAACTAGTGTTAGATTCCCCAATACGAATTTCTCTTCAATAGGTGAACTCTTTTCGTGATTCTTCACTAGAACAAATGAGTTGGATTCTAAGCAAAATCAGTGCTCGTGGAAGGAGTTTCTGTTAGTGAAGCAAGATTACGGCAGCCCCCAATGCCTCCTGAAATGCTGCTCGTACAGGACAGGGAACCCCAGGAAGAGCATTAGGGGTGCACTGAAGGTCTGCTGTGAGATTGGGGAATGGGCAGCAATTGCCCATCAGTTCATATTTTCCACTGGATCCAATACTGTGGAATTAACCTGTTTTTTGGGTTACATATGCTATTCTTGTGACAGATCTGCTATAGCCAGTATCATTTATTGAAACAAATTAGCTGGTGCTACTGGAAAACATAACTCTGTGTGGTGTTATGCTCAGCCAAACTTCTGATGTTGTACCAGCACAAAATTTAACACAGCACAAATAACTACATAGGGTGCAAACTTGTGCTTTGCAAAAGGAACAGTGCCCTTCCCTGTTTCCAGGTGAGGGCATGTCTGCTTCACCTGGTCCTTATTACTAAGCAAAGGACATAGTCAGTGATGGACTCCTGGAAGATCTTTATAAGAGTTCTAGCTTAGTTGGCCAAACAGTTTGAATTGTGAACCACCCATTCTTCAGAGGGAGCATCTGGGCTCCGCTGGCCCCATTACTCAAGAGAGTCAAGAGGCACTCTGTAGTGTAATCATCAGCAGCCACCCAAACATGGTACAGAAGCCACCATCACTTCCCAAATTCCCAAGAGTAGTATTTGTGATCTACCAGCTCTCCGAGCTGCATGAATTCCTTGAATCCTGGTCTGAAGAAAAAGATTCGCTTCTAGGTGAGTACCAGACAAACTGGGAACTAATCTTGCATTCACAGATGAACACTGCCCTTTGTTGCAAGAGATGAAAATCCACCCCACCCCATATGACCACATTTTGGCCTCATGGTATTCCATCACTAGAGAATTGGCAGGCCCAGTGACCTAGATGTTTTGGAAATGCTGTCACTGTCCTCTGCAGTAGTGGGTTGGCTTGATTATTCAAGTTATCTGGAGCTGTTTGGTTTGCAAAGGTCTTTTCTCTTGAAATATCCTCTGCATTATGTAGTTTGAGTTTGGGAGGTAAGGATGTGATAGAAGTAGATGACATCCAGGACTCTTCCAACAAAACAATTCTAAATTGTAAATAAGAGTGCCTGTAAATGAATACAGCTGCAGCTGCATTTTTTTTTTCACTGTAATGATAGACCTGAATTAGGAATACTGTGTGGTTCTGGGCATACTTCTCCATGTTTTGCTGTAGCCGTATGGAACTTGTTTTCTAGGTGTCTTCTGTTTATGAGGCTGCTACAGCAGCATAATGTGTTGGCAAATATACTTGGTGAGATTTGTGTTGGCCTGAGTACCGAAGCATAGCTCAGATGATTTTACATTGTTATGTAATGTATAGAAACAGCTGGTATACTCAGAAACTTGCTAAATGAACTCAGTCCTATTGCATCTCTGGGGTTTACATCTAGAAGCTTGTAGCTCAAGAAAGTGCTAGAGACCTGTGTGCACTTTGACTTTCCAAACACACCCATGTTTGGACTTTGAAGAAGACTAAGTGGTGTTTATTGAAAACATCAGTAGATTGAATGAGGAATGTTTATTGAGTGATGCTCCCCATTACCTGGCTGTTATATGTACTGGTGTGATTTCTGATGATTTATGTACTGGTGTGATTTCTGATGATTACAGTAACAACAAGAAATCTTTTCCCAGTTCAGGGTGTATTTGAATGATGCTGCATTTGCTATAAATTGTACAGATTAGCATTTCTCTGTGCATCTGATTTCTAGAACCCCATTTACTATCTGGCTGTAAGCTTACCTTTGCGATTCACTTCATAAAAGTACTGTCTTTTTAAAAACTTGTGTAAATGTTGTTTGTTCTGGGAGTGATAAGTGTTCTGGTGTAGTGTAACCACTCTCATAATGGCACCTGCTGTGATTACTATTTGATTCTACACCATCACATTTTTAGATGCATTATATACTATTATTGTTGTGCTTGTCTTGCAATGCCCCAAATCATTTTATCATGCAGTTACTATGTGATAACTGGTTGGATCCTGTGGGCCATCATCAGAAGGTGCTGACAATCCTTCAGAAGCTGTTTCTGACCCTGAGAAAGTTCATTCACTGTGGAGTAATAGCCACACAGATTGGGAGGCTGCTGCAGGGAGGGGGAAGGAGGTGACATAGCTTCTACCTGCCTCCTGGGTGAGTGGAGCTCTGCTGGCAGAAGAGAAAGAAGGGAGCGATTTCACCCCCTCTTCACTGCAGCCTCCTGGCCGTTACCCCTCATGGGTCCCGCAGTCTCAGGAGTAAACTTTGCTGGGGTCAGAAATGGCTGCTGGGTGGAAAGCCAGAAAGATGAGGGGTTGTTCTGGATCCAACCCATCATTTACTCAATTCATTTTTTAATATCCAGATTGGAATCCACATGATGAAGTTTCGTCTGTGTCCAGGGGTCCATTACACCTCCTTGTCTTGATTTCTTGATGGATAGTGACTGATTTGTGCCTTAAGTTAGAAGGTAGCTGGAATGACTTGGTGTTGGGTATATAGAATTGGTGATGTGATACAGGCACAACACATGGGGTTTCGGATATGCTGGTGCACTAACATCTGCTTAGGATGAGACTTGCCTATTAGTTGGTTCTCTTGCTGTTAATGGCTCAGACCTTAAGTCACCAGGTTGGTGTTTTCTTGAATCTGTAATATTGTCCTGTTTTTATTTTCCCCCATAGGTCTTCTCCAGGATTCTGACCATCCATACAGCAGATATGAGAATGAATGAAAATGGACAATGCATTGCTTTCCTAAAGGAATTGAAAATTTCAAGAGAATGATTTGGTTCAGTTTTTAGGTTACCGGATGAATGAAGGATAAAGGAATTGGAAATTTCAAGAGTTATTTGGTTCGGTTTTTAGATCACCAGATGTGTACATAATTGTGTAGTGGAATATCATGTTCCTTTTCTTTGTTGAAAGCAACATGCTTATATACGTCTCTAAGGTTTTTTCCTTCTCTAAATCTGTAATGGAATGAGAATCAAGGGACGTAAATAACAATCATGTAACTTTCTTCTCATGTTGTAACAATTAAAAAATTCAAATTATCTTATTTTTCGTGTTGCTAAATAAAAATTGTTTCAGATCTATGTCAGGTAACTACGTTGGCAAGTGTTTGACAACGTAGACAGCTATGGTGCCAAGTGATGACAAGTAATTACAGCCTGCACCTTCATTACTGTTAAGTAAAAGAAAATGACAGTACACACTTGCCACCTTGGCTTCGGCAACACGGTTGTGGATGCAAAAACCAACAGATGCCTGTCCTGCTGTCCTAAGTGGTACATTCCTGCACCATCCTAGGCTCCTGAACGAGGTCCTTTAAGGGCTGTCAACCTGTCTTCCTGCTGTTCTGTAATTATCCCTCCGCCCCAATATGTCCTTTCTGAGAACACACTGCTTCCCACTAATGTCTTGCTTGGTTCTGTGGAGCCTGAGCTGATGAAACCCATGCTTTCCAGGATGAGCGGAATGCGTCCAGATTGCAATTGTAGTGGCTTGGATCCTGTGTTCATTGCTGCTGAAGGATGGGGTGGAAGAATAGGCAAAAATCACTGACCCCCTTTAATGGGTTCTAAATAGTAGGTGGTGGGCATGTTGCATTTGATCTGCAATATTTCCTGTTCTAATAGGCTTGTAACCACTAAGAGAACCTTTAAAGTAACTCTTAAATTCATAAAACAAACTTTTAAAATGTTTGAAGTGGTAATCACCTCAGGCTTTGTTTAACATGACCTCCTATTTCCAAATGCATTGCAAAAAATGTTCAAGTTTGTCTGCAATTGAGATTCCTGTCTCTGGGGGGGAAAAACAACAAACAAGATTCTAGCTGGTAAGAAATCAGCTTGTTCTGTAAGCATGCCTTGGAGGCAAGCAGCATGTTGGCTTCCTTGATGGTGTGATAACTCTTATCAAGACTAAAAACTTCTTTCTTGCTGTCAGATACCTGTTGCTGTTTGTTCCTGTGAACACATCCTCGCTCCAGCTATTAAATGTTTTTATTAATAATATACAAAGTACTTCTGTGTCTCTGGGGTTGTTTTTTCTCTCCAGTCTTCAGAGTGTGAATCCACTTATGAAAACTAGGTGGTAGTTTTTGTGAACCGTCGGCTCCTTGCATTAGAATGAGATTAAGTATTGTCTTGTTGAAGCAGCTACTTATTATGTGAAAACGTGTGGCAAGGGACACATATTGTACATCAACACTTTGATTTGGTACTGATTTCAGTTTAGATTTTCAGGATGAGTTTGCATACAATCGAGCAATTGGTTGAAATTTGTTTAACAAACATTCAAATGTTTGAATGTTTGCTTTATTGTTTAAACTTTAATAGTGTCTATGTTTCTGTATTTCACAGACTTTATATACATTATTATCGTCCTCTTGTCTTTTGTATTTGATTACTGTTATAGATGGATTCGGTATTGTCCGTATGCTGACAGCACTTGACTACATCTATTTTTCCTCAAATCTCTTGATTTTCTGAACTGCTATCTAGTGACCTTATTGAGTTGTTGATGGTAATTAGTTGATTAGGACTGGCCAAGAAGCCTGTTATGCTTGAAATTACACTTATCTGGAAGGGTTGGGTTGGTGTTTCCCTGGTTGCTGTTCTGCTTATTCATGCCATTCTTTGGTGGCATTTGTGACCATGGATGCTTTCGTACAACTACACATGCATTCTCCCGCGAAACAGAAATTTCAATGCTTTGAAGACTACACTGACTCCAAGAATGCTGCAAGGTGTCTGGGTCCTGATTGTAGCCGGAAAGAACATGCAAATCTCTTTGCAAAGAAGCGGCTCTAGCTACCAGTGGGTTTCTGGACTTTATTTACCTGTTGAAGGTTTTGATTTTTAAAGATGTGAATGGTTTAGGCCAATAGATATTTGAAGGAATGTCACCTCCTGCATAGTTCACCTGCTCCTTGTTGTGCTAAAGAAACCCTCATATGGTTTCCCTTTGTTTTGAGCTTCAGCAGATGCTTAACCCAATAAGGGCTTTCTTTATGGGATCATCCTCATTCTGGAATTCCCAACCTAGTGAGGCCTGGTCAGCTTCCTTCTTTTCCCCTTTTACTCTTTGGCATTCTATGACACCCTCTTGCCATAAAGCTGACTGGCAAGCTTTAGTTTTATGTGTGTCTTTTATTTGTTTTGCCATTTTCTACTTTTGTTGGTATGTTGGTACTATATATGCATATTGGAATGCAGTTTCAGAGGCCATGGCAAGAACTGGGGCTATAAAATAAAAAAGGGTTGGATCCAACCAGCTTTTCCATTGGTGAAAAAAAGGCAATGTCCATGAAACCCACCTTCCTACCGGTTACATCATACCGGTTCACTGATCTTTATCTCCATTGACCCATTCGCTTTCAAAATGGAATCATATATGGTTCTGTTTCATATTTCTTATTGCACATGGATTTTTTTCTTATTGGACATTGGAGAGAGGGAAAGAAACAAAGACTCAGACTGATGCCAGAAAGCAGTAATTTGAAGATTGCTTCATGCACTCTAAAAAATGTTCTTTGAGGACAAAGGATATATGCTCTCGTGTGCAGGACAAACAGGAGTGCCAGATGAAGCAATAATTTGCAAGAGATAGAGGGAAATGATTAACTCTTCCTGCCCCACGGCTACTCTAAAAAGCCATGGAGAATCTTCACAGATCTCCTGGATCTTATCTCATTTGGCCATACTTTGGCATATCAGTTAAGACAGTTCAGTTAAGGGCTACTCTTTCCATGGGAAATAATAATTCCTACTTTGGTTTAACTTGGGATATCAAAGCATAAAGCTCCAATTCTCCTGTAGATGAAATTCACTGAACAATCTTCAAAGAATGTGTTCTGTTTCTGCACATTTCTCATTATCTGTATTTCCAATGAACATTGCATATTGTATTAGTACATTTTCCATGACTACAACCCTAACTACATGTTCGTGAAAATCAATAGGACTGGCTTCTGAGTAAGCAGCTAAGACTGAATTTTAAAACATTGCTGTGGAGTAAAACTGTTCCAACTGCTCCTTTTGCAGTACACAGAAGTACAAAATTCTTCTGGGATTATTTCCCTTTCTAATGTAAACCCATTTGCAAAATTTCTTCCAAATCAGCAATGTGTTTTATTTGTGTGATGATAACTTCAAAAATGTAACTTAGAAGCTTTTCAAGTGCCACTATCAATAGCCTGTATTCTAACAGTATTGCAGAAGTGTTTTGGGAGGAGGAAATAGCAATTTTTTGCTAGAACAAAGCTTAAAATAGATTTGAATCAATATTAATATTGCTTAGAAGTATATGGTTCAAGACTAGTTTCTTACTCTGTGTGTTTGTGTGTGCACAGACTGACCCATACAGTGCCAAGCTATGAGGAGATCATGTATGTAAGTTGTGGTTGCATAATCTGCTTTTGCCTGGGGAGAGGGGGGATTTTGAGTTTTCCAAGTCAGATAAAAATAGCATCTGTAATTTGGTTATGGGCATGGTTTTGCATTTTAATTTTTCAGCTGCTGAGCTATAGCAGCTAGGATTAATGCTTGACATAAATGAGTGAAAACTGCAATATCAAATGATTTCATTTCATTTTTTTAATGTTTCGGTATGTCGTCCTCTCTCAGTTTCCAAAAGACTAGCTAGCAGTGCACTAAAAAGTAACCGCATAGAGCTGCATCACAATCTGGTGCTATAAGCCTTGCAAGATGGCTGTTGCTTACACTGGAGCAAAACAAAAACCAGTATCTTGTAGTTAGGGGAAAAACAAATGAGACAGTGGAAGGCCAGCAATCAGAACTTCCCACTGCTTTTGAAAAGGTAATAGGAACAGCTGTGCTGGGCCCCAGATTTATTTCAGGAGGGAAGAGGAGAGAAAACTTCCCTTCCGCATGCTGCAAAGGGGGAAAAGACTTCCTGCATGGTGGAGGGGATATTCTGTTGTGGTCAGCAAAACTGCACCGAGGGAATTATTTCTGCCTCTTCCCCCATGCACAATCTGAATGGGGACCCCCATGCAGTTTCTATTAGCTCTTAAAATGCTGGCAGGACCTGATCATGGTTTTGCCAGCATTTCATCTGTTTTGACCTTTCCCAGCAGTAGCCCAACTGCATACCAGCAACGTTCACAGAGGAAGCAGAAGAAACCATTTGTGCACAGACTGTGGCAACCGTTCAGCTGTCCACTAATTGTCTATGCGGGAGGGAGCATGGGGTGCGTCTATACTACAAGCCTCTCCATCCCCCTTTGCCTGTTGTGGCTACTGACAGAAGGTGGTAAAGAATAAGGCCAAGGCTGATGGTGCAAGAAAAAAATATATTTTAGTAAGAATAAAGCCCGTTGTGGAAATAAATACTTCTTCAGTTCAGAGGAATCTGTAACATGTAATATGCGAGTACATATTCTCATATGTATTTTAGCAATTGTTATTTAGTCAAAATTATGTACATAAATAAAGCATTGTGTTAAAAATCAAATTATAGTTTGTACCAGCAGAAGGCAATAGGCCCTGCATTGACAGAACAGCGGTCAAAATAGCATCAGCTGGTGTCAAAACATGTAGGTGCTTCCAGTGCAATATTTAATAAAATATACACTCTTCAGGTACTTAAACCATTGGAAGTAAACATCCCTCTCTGTCCTGTTGGACATGCGCCTCATCGGCTGGTCCCCAAATTGTTTCAGGTCCCTCTTAATAAAATTGCCCTGTCCATCCAGAAGGCTAGGGATCCTATTCTACACTTGTAATGTGAATCCTTATTTGTAGCTCTACCTTTCTAGGGACATTAATCACCAGTGCTCAGTTGCATGTCTTGCACACAGTCCCTTGTCCAACCTCCTGCTTTAACCCCCGAGCTGTGGTTTTTGAGGAGGCAATCTGTCTTAATTACCCTTTTCATTCTCTAGTTGGCTTTGCCTTTAAACGAGGGCAAGCAGCTGGTGCTCTGTGACCACTGCTTATGAGTCTGATGATGACGATTGCTGAGGCTTCCTCTCCATCTGCTATAGTACCTGATGCCTCCCCCCCCCAACATTTAGAGCAGCTTTAGATG